GCAGAAAATAATCATCCAGTCCTATAGACTTTAATTTGCATGACATGTGGAAGAGACACTTAAGTGGCAGATATGGCTGGCTGGAGATAGAACTTAATAGGACTGCATGGAGGGAAAACCGGTGGGAGCAGGAGGAGGAAGGGGTCCGGGATGGGCGTCCCAGGCTTTTAACCTGGGTGTGCCTCATGTCCTGTTAGAATAATAATAACCTCTTAACCTTTTGTCAATTACATCAAGGTGCTTGCTTGGAAATTAGTCAGAGAGCCCAACCAGAACTGGTCACAAGGCTGTGGTAGAGTGGGAGTGCAGCCTGACTGCTTGTGGAGAAGCCTCGCAGGCTTCCTGGGGAACTGATATTATAGCCAGGCCTTGGAGAAAGGTGGATGGAGGGGAGAAATGTGAGTGGGAATGAAGGTGTATCAGGTCAAGAAAAACCCACATGATGGCACATGGGAAACAACTGAGAGTGGCTGGAGCAAAAATTGGTGTTCATTGTGGTCGGTGTGCATGAGGGTGTCAGGGACGGGAGTAGGCAGACAGGGAGCCTGTGAAGGAAGGCCGGGACAGTTTAGTACCCAAGCTTGGAGTAGAGACTATGCCCTAGGAGGTAAAGAGAAGATAGAGGGCTTTTTTGTTTTGTTTTGTTTGAGACAGAGTTTCGCCCTTGTTGTCCAGGTTGGAGTGCAATGGCGTGATCTCGGCTTACTGCAAACTTCACCTCCCAGGTTCAAGCTATTCTCCTGCCTCAGTCTCCTGAGTAGCTGGGATTACAGGCACCTGCCACCACGCCCAGCTAATGTTGTGTATTTTTAGTAGACGTGGGGTTTCACTACGTTGGCCAGGCTGGTGTTGAACTCCTGACCTCAGGTGATCCTTGGCTTCCCAAACTGCTGGGATTACAGGCGTGAGCCACCATGTCCAGCTGAAGATAGAGGTTTTAAGCATGATAATCACATGATTAGACCTGTACCTAAGAATCATTCCTCTGCTTCAAAAACATAATGCTTGAAATTGGAGTATACTTTTTAAAATAGATTGAGAATACACAGTTGAACAAAAAGGAATAAGAAATGCCAGTGACCTGTTGATTATCTGTCGTCTTGCCATCTTGGAGGGCTGGAGGGTTGGAATTTTGTGTGTGGTGCCATCAGCCTGCAGGAGATGTGGCTGCCCCTTGGCATCAGCTGGTCTGGGGTGGATTTAGGGCTCACTGGCCAATGAGAAGGCTGATAGGACCTGCCTCTCAGACTAAATTGCTGTATCACCCCAGTTGACGAATATCGGTGACATTGGGCATAGAAATCCCATCAAGACACCTTCATTGGATTTCACTCTTCATTGACTCAAGAAAGAAATATCTCAAGTTTAAAAATCTTAGTCTCTTGCCTTGACTGCGCTAGTTATTTTTTATGATTTGCACTGAATTGTGGGATTAAAATATACAATAGTCAAGGAAGTTCTGCCTCCTTGGGCTCACATATATTTGTATATAACTTTACATAATTTGCCTCTGGAAAGAGACTTCAGAATCATGTGCCATCTCCACTTACCTTGTGGAGGTAAGCAACAGCTGAGTTTGCCTTCATCTAACAGGTATTCTTGTTTCATTAGAATTGAGAGCATTCAGGTCAAGCACAGTGGTTCACGCCTGTAATCCCAGCACTTTGGGAGGCCGAATTGGGCAGATCACAAGGTCAAGAGATGGGGACCATCCTGGTCAGCATGGTGAAACCTTGTCTCTACTGAAAATACAAAAATTAGCTGGGTGTGGTGGGGCGTGCCTGTAGGCCCAGCTACCCAGGTGGCTGAGGCAGGAGAATTGCTTGAACCCGGGAGGCAGAGGCTGCAGTGAGCCAAGATCATGCCACTGAACTCCACCCTGGTGACAGAGCAAGCCTCCGTCTCAAAAAACAAACAAAAAAAGGAATTGAGAGCATTCAGAATGGCTTGGCCTTTGTACCCAAAGCCCCCAAGGCGTCCTAGGAGAAGTGGTTTTACCTGGGCATGATTCATAACCACCTGATACCAAGTATGTCCAGCTTGCTCCTCTGCAGATATGGAGCCAGGAGCAATATTTCAAAGGAGTATTATTTTCAAAGCTAAAGCCTAGTAATGAAAGTGCAGATGCTAAAACGGGATGAAAATAGTCCCAGATTGATGCGGTGGTTTCCTGAACAACTTCCATTCAGCAAATATAGAAGATGTAACTTTGCCATATTTCCTGGTGACACTGAGAAAGTCACTTCCTCTCTGTGTCTCTGGTTCCTCAGTTAGAAAATAAAGTTGTTGAAGTAGAGTAGTTTTAAGGCATTTTCTGGTTCTGACATTCTGTGACTTTGTGATTAACTGCTGAGTCACCACCGTAGTGGTCACCACATCCCTATGCGACCCCCGCTGCTGCCCCACAGGGATCCTTTAGCATCCAGGGTGCACCAGGCTCTCTGATAGGCACCAATCAGCCTCACCTCTTTGTCTTCCCTTAATGAACTTACTTTAATGGTGAAGTTCAGGTCGAGTGATAGAGATGATTAGTCATTAACTGGTGATTGATAGCTGGTTTCATCTTTTCTTCAAAGCTATTGGTTCAGTGTTTACATCCCCCTGCCCACCTCCCCCCGCCTTTGGCTAAGCTCCCTTAGGCTTTTTTCCTCTTGGGCATCATCGTACACCGTTATGTCTGCTCCAGCGAAGCTGCCCACTCTTCGGACTTTATACCCGCTATCTGGGAAATCATAACAAGAATTGCTTCAGCTATAGACATGCACCCTGGGGACTGACCCAGGATCAGGGCTGCCAGATGCCAGAACTTCTCCCTGCATTTGCTGATTCATTATCAGTGTCAGACAATCTGTTGTGTGAATGATGATAAATGTGTGGTGTTCTGCTGAAGGAATCATGTACCCTAAGATTAACCCCATGCTGACAGCCCACTCATTCACCACAGGGAGTCCTGCCCACCATCCCTCTACCAGTAGCCTAGAACAAATCCTGAAAGAGTGTTTGGTGAAGGATAATAGGAGACCTCATGTCCATGTAAAATATAAATGCAAATAATAGACTTTAAACAATTCCAGAGGGCACAGCCAAGGTGAGCAGTAGCTGTGAAAGCAGTGAGGTGTTGGAGAGAAGACCCCAAATGATACAAGTATGGATGCCCTCACACAATTTTCAAGCTGGTAAAATAAGTTGGGCTGACGTGGGCTAAAGAAGAGAGAAACATCCCTGGACACTGCCTACAGCTGCATGCATGCTATCCCAAGTCTAGCTATTCATCAGCTCCACGACTTTAGGCAAGACTCTGGCTCTCATTGAGTTTCAGTTTCCCCGACTGGTTAAGACAAGCAAGTTGAACAAGCCAGGTGATTTCAAGGGACACTCATAGGACTTTCTTCTCTGGTTGTTCAGTCACAGGCTCAGCCCTGTGGCCCGTCCAGTCTAGGATCCCTGAGGACCCTGAGTGCTATGCTGTGGGCACCTGCTGATCCTCTCTGATGTCACCCTCAAAGGTTGTTCCCCGAACAAACCTTTTTCCTCGGACCACCTCCCCTAAATTGCTAGAGTAGGTTTGAGGTAGAATAAGAACTAAATTAATGGTGCTCTTTGCTTTACGCATCTTTCTTTTTTGCTCACTTTCCTTCATTTGGAAGAGGGAAGGTTACCCTAGATACCAAACCTGAATTCCTGTAGATTGGTGATTCATTCTATACCTGTTAGAAAATATTTCCTTCTTCTGCTTCCGTGAATTATTTTGAAATGTAAATGCCATTCCAATCCTGGGGACTGAGAATTAGCCACATTTCTATAGCAATGGTAATTTCATCCTCCATACCCCCACCTGTAGGGGCAAGTAATAATTGTAATAATGGCGACCATTTTTACTGCTTCCTATTTTGCGGGCACTCTGCTGAATACTTTAGATACATCAGCTCATTTAATCTTCATAATATCCACTTGAACTCAATTCTGTTTTTCTCCTTTTTACTAATGAGAAAACTGAGATTTGTTTCATTAAGTACCTTGCCAAGGTCACACTGTGAGTGAATGACAGAGCTGAGATTTGAACTTGTACTTTCTGACTCTAGAGCCTAAGCACTAACCATCAGCAGGAAGTCCAGTGCCAAACATTTCAAAGGCACAGTAATTGCCTGATTGATGGGCCGTCTAGAGACGTGTATCCTTCAGCCAGAACTCAGCCCCAGGGCCCTCGGAATTGCTCCAAGCCGTTTGCTGGGAGAGCAGCTTCAGCTAAGAGAGGAAGGGCGGCTGTAACTGCAGGCCTTTATTTCAGTGGTTTATGATACAGTGATGGGGTTCCTTCCGTGGACATAAGCCATCCTAATAGCGCCATTTATCATTAGGACAAAGGTTAGAATGGGGGGAAACTCGAGCTGGAATGAAAGAGTAGAATTCTGATTATTTTAACAGTTGAAAGTGACATCACCTCAGAGCCTCTATCAAATGGCAAATTGGAAGCTGGACTGCAATTGCTTTAAAATATATCCAGAGATAGTTTTCTACAGCTGTGATAAAGTCTTTCAGATGTGTTCAGACATGTGCTTTTGTCTAAAGCACTTATTGAGTTACTTGTGTGTCATCTATACAAAAGGCTGCCTGTGAGCTCCAGGAGAGTCTCAGACTTTGGGGTGCTGTCCCCTGGGCAGCACATATAGTATTTTGGTTGATTAAGCCATATTTCCTCACTGGTTTTTTTTTTTTTTTCCATGTGTTGTAAAAATCTTTCCATGTCTGTAGTCATGTTTTCAATGGCCACATCCTTTTGCTTAGTCCATCTGGTTTGTTGAACCTATGCTTCTGAGACAACATCCTCTGCCTCCTATCAGTGTTTTGGAGCAAACGGGAGTGCTGGCTAACTCCTGCAGGATCCTTCAGCCTGGCTGGATAGTCTTTTATTTATTTGGCCTTTTATTCTGGGAACCTAGAGGAAAGACCCATAGGGTCTGGAACTTCAACTAATTTATCCCCTTTTTTCTCCTCTTTAGGCAAAAGAAGGGGAACGTGGCCCATAAACACTGGGTTGGACCTTCGAACCTGGTCAAATGCAAGCCCTGTCCCGTGGCACAGTCATCCATGGTCTGCGGCTCAGACGGCCACTCCTACACATCCAAGGTTGGTTTTCTTGTCTTTTGTCATCAAAAATACTTCATGTCAGCTTGTTCTAACATGTCTCTGTGCCAGAACTGGGGCTTGGGAAGCTTGGTGGGCTCCAGGCCATGACCTTGAGAAGCTGCTGTATGAACAGACTCAGAGATATTCTCTGGCCATGCAGACAAGCTGAATAAAAATGTTCTATTCCGTGTAACTGGGCCGGTTGAGGGGTAAGAAGAAAGGATGGTTTGAGAGTGGTATGTGATCCTGAAATTAATCCAGGCAGGCTTCCTAGAGAAGGTGAGATAGCCAGCTGTTCAAAAGATTCAAGTCACATAGCTCGGCTGATGGGGAGCAAACCAGTAAGGGGGGCTCAGGATGCTGCCTGGTGCCAGTGCAGCAGAAGGAAGGGATTTGATGTCAGTGCACACTTAATCCACACTTGTCGCATATCTAGAATGCATCTGGCCCTGCACAGGCTCCAAATAAGGCATTGTTCTTTTCTCGGGGGTGGGGGGCGTTCCTCAGCAACTTACAGACTGATAGGGGTAGGGACAAGTATGTAACAGGTCATTTTAACTCAAACCAACAAAAAGAAAATTGTTTCATAGAAAAAGGGGCTGGGATAAAATATGTCTATTTATATTTATTGGAGGGATGAGGAAAGACTTTGTTTTTATTGGGAGGATGAGGAAAAGCCTCTTCTAGAGGAGCATTTCACCTAAGCTGTAATAATAAGATTTACAGGCAGGGAGGCAGGGGTTATGGAAGTAGAGAAAGGAGGTGATAATTTGTTCTTGGAATGCTTCTTGGGTGAGATGTGGCCATTTGTGTTTGAGAATGGGTACATTTCACCGGGATGATGAACTAAAGGGACATCATCGAATTGATGTGAGTTTGCTTCTTTATTTTCATATCCGACAACCACCCCCTGAGGGTCTAACACTGTGCTAGGCACAAAGGAGCCAGCGTATGAGTATGCGTGTCAGGGTTTTCTGTAAGACACAGGGGTGGAGTAGAGCTCTGGCCCTCCCCGTCTCCTCCAGCCAGAGCTGCGCTGTTTTCATCTGTCTTCCTGTTTTTCTGTGTAAGGTTAACTTGCAGAGTGGAGTTCATGACTAAAGAGAGTTGCTATAGGGGACATTGTGGTCACTCCTGGCCACACCACCACATGGTTCTCAGGCCTTTCTGCAGGGACCTCCTCCTTGTTATGCTCCCACTGCACAGAAAATCGGCGACTTCTGTTCTCTATGATCCCCTCACCACCCTGACTCTTACACCGTGGAGATGTCACAGACCCACAATGACTCTCACTGCTTGCTGTTCTCAGAGACTTATCGGGGTTATTTAGAGGCTGTGACCACTTTTCCATACTGATTTTGTGATGCATGGGTTGTATATTCTTATGTTTTTGTCCACTAATCGTTTTATGCTCCCAGATGTTCACAGTTTTCTAACAAAGGAGAAGAAAAATGTGTTTCTCACAAACAGGAAGGTACTTATGTCTGACTTGTACTCAGATCCATGGGATCTGCTTTAGGATTCAGTTGCATATTCATTGCTTGACTGGTTCCTTGGTTCACTCAACAGGATCATTTGAGCCATTTTTAGTGCCAGGCCCTGTGCTAGGTGGTGAGGAAATTTATAATATAGTGGGAATAGAAGAGTTGACTCTTCTTTATGGCCAGACTCAGGAATCCTTAACTCTCTAACTCCAGGCCTGTCCTGTGAGTTAGAAATTCTTTGTCCAAGATTGTAGCTGGTATGTCTTTCTCAGTAGCCATAGCCCATCTCACCTCAACCAAACCCACACTCCCCTGTCCCCTTACTCTTTTTAGCCCCTAATAAACACTTGTGACAGTTTGTAGTAACAGGACTTGCTTTTGACACCCTAGCTATGTCTGGAATGGTAGATTTAAAGGGGACACTGATGAGTCATTTCTATCCCCCATTCCCAAAGGCAATCAGGCCATCACTGTCTTTCACTTATATCCTAGGTGTGTGAATAATCACCTGGAGAAGCTGTTAAAATGCAGACTCTGAGAGGGCAGGGGCTGACATCCTGCGCTTCTAGCAGTTTCCCAGGCGATGGCCAAGCTTCCGGTCCACAGACCACACTTTTAGTAGCGAGGGTATCAGTGTTTATAGGAAGCTTCTAATCGGTCTCCCTGCCTCCAGTCTGCCCCTTTGGCTACCCCAAAGTCCACTTCCACATATCAGAAGGGGGGGAAATTCTGTAATAAAAGTCTGTGTCTTCTCAGCTAAAAATGCTCGGCTAGCTCTCCCTTGCCACTAGAACTGAGCTCAGCCTCAGGCTCTGTCATTACTAACAGGACCCTCCAGAGCCTGCCCGCTCCTGCTCCAGGTGACTTACCATAGAAAGAATCTTTCATTCATTTGTTCAGCAACTTTACTTAACACAGTACTGAACACAAATGCAGTTATTCTACGCATCATGCAAAACATGGGGTGGGGGCAGTGGGGAATAAGACATACGCCATTCCTGCTCATCTGGAGGTTACCGTCTGGTAGGGGGCACAGAAATAGGCAACTGAGCAAATCAATATGTAATTTCAAATTTTAGTAATTGCTGTGAAGCATAGTTCTGAGAGAGAGGGTTGGAGAGAGGCCTGCTTTATAGGACATGGTGATCCAGGAAGGTGTCTCTCAGGGGGTATCCTTTAAACTGAGAGTGGAGGAGTGGAATGTTCCAGATAGAGAAAACAGCATGGGCCAGTGCAGTAAGGCAGTGTGATGTGTCTGAAGAACTGTGAGGACGCCCCTGTGGAGAGACATGAGATGAGGAAGAGGGAGGATGTCCAAACCATCTAAGCAGGGACACTTAGCCTGAAAGGTGAGAAGACGATCTGGCAATGCCGGCCTTGAGGGATGCTCAGTATTGCAGTTGCCTTAAGAATATGAGATCCCAGAGGCAGAGACCGTTTATAGTGGCTGCTCAGGCATGGGGTACAGTGCATAGTGGCTGCTCAGGCATGGGGTACAGTGCATAGCGGCTGCTCAGGCATGGGGTACAGTGCATAGTGGCTGCTCAGGCATGGGGTACAGTGCATAGTGGCTGCTCAGGCGTGGGGTACAGTGCATAGTGGCTGCTCAGAAAATATCGTTACAGAGAGAGGAGCCAGCAAAGAGTCTAGCTGACAAAGAATGGGGAGATTCCAGTCTGCATGACCCACCTCGGATTTGAGTCAGTGGGGTGGAGAGAGCTTTGCAATTGGAAAAAAAACAAGTCATCCCCATCCTGGGCCAAGCTGCTTAGCTGAACACCCAACCTGGGGCTCTGGCAGAGACTTAGCCGCTCCTTGCAATGTTTTTGTCTTTGTGAAGATCCTGTTTGTGTTGTTCAGATTATTCCTTCCAGCTCTGGAGCAGACAGTCTGATCCTCAGCCTGAGACTGGACATGAGCCATGAGATGTCAGTGAGTACTAAGGACTGTTTGGGCAAGTGGCATATTGTACATCAAACCCCAGCAAAAACCTGCTCACTCACCTCTGTCTCTCATTTGCAGAAGGAGCTTAACATGCCAGCTCCCTGTGAACCTTGAGGTGCAAAGAGCAGTGGTAACCTGTCAGACATTGTTGAAATGCTGTCTGCCCAGGGAATATCTCTGGAAATGTTCGCTGGTCAAAGCCTCTTGGTAGTCTGGGCAGGAAAGTTGACTTTTTGGATACATTAAGGTTGCCTTACTGTTAACTGGTAAATAGCTGGTTTGAGAGTCAGGATTAGGATTGTGAAGACCCCTTTCCAGTGACTCATAATTCGTCATAAGAGGAGTGGCATGTGCATACTGATGGGCCTGGCCCTCAGAACTTCCCAAGCAGCATCCTGATGTTCCTTTAGTGTCTTTGAATTCCTGCACCAGCCTGACCAAGTTCTCAGTTTCCCAGACCTGCCAAACCCTTTTCCTGAGACAGAAGAAGTTGTCTAAAGCCCTCTTACCAAAGGTTGTGGTATTCTACTCCCATATTCCTTATAGGATATACTGAAGCCCCAAAAGACAAGAGCAGTGGTAATTTCACACCATGGTCTCCTGCCTGGGTATCTGTGACCTACTCACTTCTATTTGAAGTAAAAGAGTGGTGGGAGGGACACCGCTGCAGTGGAATGGCATGGGTGTTGATTCTTGATACTAGTGTGCTAGTTTTCTGCCTTATGTGCACATCTAGAAGTTTGTGCTCTCTCTTTCTTAACATAGTGGGTCAAATATTACTTAATCGGAAACTGTGCTTTGATTGCTCAAGACTTCTGAAGCAGAGGTCAGTTCTAGACCCCTGTGGCATTCAAGGAGACTTCCTTCTGTGGGGCCTATTTCAGTCTGGTTGGATTTGCTAATGGAGTGTTTTAGTCATTGCTTCTAAATACATGGCCACTTCTTTATGGAGGTTCAAAAAGATGATTTAGTCTCACAGACAAAGCTATTGGAGACCACCAGTAGATGCTCAATTAATAAGACTGAATTAGTTACTTGTAAAGGAGCAAATGACTTCCCATCCCATGGAGTTAGAGCCTTTTTTGGATCATTGGTGTCAGGATACAAAGGACAGATGAGACCATGATGCCTGTGTAGCTGGAGGTGATTCAGTGTCATTAAGTCAAACTCATAAAAATTAGTTTTGGCAAAAATTTATTACTGCCCCCATCCCATCATCACCAGGGAAACCCATACTCCGTAATAAATAATCACAGTTCTCTAGGTGAATTGTTTACCCCTTCAAGATGGGTTCCATAGTTGTGGGAGCATCGCTGTGGCAGGTGGAGGAAGAAGCCTGAGCATCCTCTGTCCTTGATGCTGGTGTCTGTCCTCAGGTTGCATCAAACAAGCTTTCCTTCTGCTTCTGGGCCCCCAACAGTCAGAGGCTTCTAGAAGTGGGGGATGCATTGAGGAGTCTTTGTCTACAGCAGGCCTCTTCTAATGCGCCGATAGCAGGGACACCACTGAGAGCTGTGTGACTCGCCCAGGATCAAAGATAAAGTGCACAGGAAGCCATAGAGCCTTGAGATG